AGGATATTATTAATGGATGCACGACATTATTAACTGCAATACATCACATGATTCGGATCGGTGATACTGGCGACGGTTCCGTTTCTACTCGCAGACCACACCACGTACCTTTTGGCTCGCATTGGTATTGGTGCCAATTTGAGATAGATCTCGAGAATGTCACAATTTTCCTTGATCAAAGAAAGAGGTCATGTATGATAAATTAAAATCATGATGATCCTCATTCTGGAGGTGCATTTTTAAACAATGATTTTTCCCCTCCCTTGGATGTACAAAGTTTCTATAACAACAAAGATTGTTCTAAAGATTATTAAGTCGATTAACTTTTGAGATCATATGGTCACAAATAACGTACTCTTATTTATTGTGCTCTTTGTTCATTAATTTCAGGTAATTAATATGATCTACACTCGATGAACGTTTGACTTTACGTCATCGTCAATCCTAAAGGAAATAGAAGAAGGTCGAAATAGGTGAGTGAATATGAGTGAAGAACAAGGAATTCTTCTCATGATTGTTGTAAGCAGAGCTGACGAATCGGTAGATCCTCGTTAACAACGAAGGATCGTGCATAATATGAAGGAACAAATAGAATCCGTGTGAACGGAATCACACGTTCGCCATGAATCGTTATATTGTGTGAAAGATCGTTGGGCATTTCCATTTCAACGAAGAAGTAAGCTAATCGCCACCAACAGCATCGAAGATTGAAACATCCAACACCATATATAAAGTTGCATCACATAAATATTTGGATTCGTTCCGAGTGTGCATCATGTTGGACACAAATTATACTTGACATTCTCAGATTGTCTTAATATACACGGCACGTATTGTCTTTGAAATTGTGCATCGCACTAGCATTTATTTATAAAAATTTCCGAAGTATCAATTCCCAAAGCTTATCACACATGGAAATCGGATTACCGTCTTTGGCAGACAAGACTTTCTTCGAACCACTATTATTTTATTAATGCAAAACTCACCACACAAACAAATTAAAAGCGTCCTTCAAAGATTAAACTCATCGATGCGTAAGCGGGCACAATGCATTTGGGATTTGTCACGGGAGCGAGCAAGCGAGACCTTGTTTGTTTGTTAGGATACGTATGAAGTTGCTGCGGTCAAAAGCTATCCGAGTGTGTTGTGACGGATCGTTGATTCGTTTAACATGTGCCAAGGAGAAATTTCTTTGGGGTGTTTCAGGTAGTGTCTATGAGGAAAATAGGAAATAACGATGGAAATGTCGAAAAATGAAATAACCATCCGAAAAAATCACAAATTCGCAATGAGTCTCCGAATGAGATTGGTTAACCTCAGATGCATGTCGAATTTTTCGTAATATTTCGCTAGCACACACACACACGCCAGCCGAATCTGTGGAGTACATAGTCTTTTCATTATCACCTTCCGAGAAAAAGTTCAAGCCAAGGATACATGCATTTGTGTGCGCGAAAATGTTAACAGACTCTTGTTGGAAACAAGTCATATGCGTGAATGATTGTGATGATGCGAGGAGCACGATAAATACAACAAAACAGGCGACCAATAGAACTCGTCACTGAAAGATTCTTGACATATAAAGTAATTTTATATGAGTTAGCTTTCCAACCAAAGAGAGGGTTTCATTGATGCAATCCATAAATTATGCTCTTGATGGGACTTGACGTGTTGGATTCACGCGTTACCTTTATGAAAAATATTAAATGTATTCTGCACGTTCGCGTATCAGTTTATCATTTATGGAATTCCCAGGAAAATATTATTATTAAAGTAACTGACTCATTCACCTTTGATGCGAGATTCTTGATGAACAAAGAAGGTTAGCTTGATAACTCTCTATTTTATTTTTACAATCGTTGTGAACCACATTTCATATCTCAAATGTGATGAGAATGAAAGGGTAATGGCTGTTCCCTAACATATGTTCACGCAAAATATCTGAACCTAAAATATTAATCAATAATTTTATTCGCGAAAATGGAAACCAATTATTTTTCTTAAAAGGAGGTGCAAAATCGGGAAATTACTATCATAGATACCAACGGCTTGGAGAAACAAAAAGGAAACAAGATTTCCCAATTTTCCCAAAGTGAACAATTTGGGTAACCGCAAAATTACACCGAATTGTTGTAGAACCGTGATGCATAGAATGTAAGTTGAGTAGATATTATTTTTTGTAATACATTGATATTGTTTTGAATTTTCTTCGATTATCAGATTTTGAATGCTATATTACAAATCAGGAAAATACTATGGTGCCGGGCGTTGCACAATATTTTTGTTGGTCAAAGATTGTTTGGTTAATCTTTGTATGATTCACTTGTTCGTCTTAAAAAGTTCATGGATGCTGTCAAAAGCTGATGTGTGTCCTCTTAAGGAATTAAATCTCTTTCCCGACGTCTGGATCTTGCATTATCTTTTCTCTTTCTCGGCTTAAATCGTCGTGTCCATTGATCGGCGTGGCACTCGATTAGTTCGTTAAGGTGGCCTGCGTTAATTGTATTTTTGGTCGAATTCTTGTATGGTGATCTTTAAAACATTGGATACAGTATGTCTCTGTGATCGATGTGCTGTCACGCGGTGAGCAGACAAACATTAGCTATGCAATCTTCGCTTTTGTTCATGAAAGGATTTTGCATGTATTAGAGGTGATGCAATTTTGAGAACACCCAATGTGACGAGGATCTCGGATTCACCTTTGTGCCTCAACAACAGTATCTTTGCCACTCTCATTGCCACAAATTCCACCTACTGTTTACGCATGTACGCATTAATCAATTCGGGTCGGTAATTTGACAGGGGTGGACCTTTAATACGTACAATATACAGTAATACTAAATGAAATATAGTACATCTTCCTTTTGCCAAGAATTCCATTCAAAACAACCAATATTGCAAGATCAGACCAAGAATATCTACAAGTTCTATTGAATTGTTAAGCTGGTGGCGTGCTTCGATCACACCTTTACAGCTTGACAATATTCAACCAACCCACGAACGCGATCGAATTTCCGAGTCCTTTTTAAACGTTTGTCTGTCTATCTAATTTCGGCGGTCCCTGAGTGATCAATGATTGGGAAAAGAAGTTGGGTGAAGATTGATGAGTTAAAAAAAGTTTTTTTACCGTCCAATTGTTTTGCGTGAAGATCTTAACCTGAATTCACAAGGAAAACCACTCGACGACTAGCGAATGTCAAGCAGGAAGGTGCCTTCTTTTGTCAAAGACGTTAACCGTGTTTTTCGTGTCGCATCAAAAAAGATAAGGATTATATGGATGCAGTGCTTTCGGATAACCGAGATAGTTGGCGATATATCGACAAGCGGGTGAGATTTTTGAAGGACACGTGCAAATTTTCACACTCCAACTTTTAAATGAGAAGCATTATTTCACGTGCAAGCAGAAGAAAAGAGTGATGACTCACGTAAAATCAAATCGCGATTCAATAAATTCGCGAAGGGTTGAGCCAATGTATTTAGTTCACCTCAAGAGTGAGTGAGTTTTTTTTTTCTAAATGGGAATCGATCTTTCGATTTTCGATCACAGATTTCCAACATTTCTAACTCTCCTTATGTTTCGCACTACTGGTTTCACAGGAAATTTTATTATTATGATTGTATTATTTTTATTATTTTGAAACAAAACTTGAAATTTTGCGCTGTAATGCAATGGCATCCACATCGACCCTTGGATAATTTCGCATTTGCGAACATATATGCATTTGCGAACATACAGTATATGCACTTGCGAACATACAGTATATGCACTTGCGAACATACAGTATATGCATTTGCGTATCGCAGAAACTTGTGCAAATGAGAAAAGTAAAAGGGGACCAAGGTTCATTCCGTTTTCAAGTAATGAAAATTTTTTTTGGCTTCGGTGCATAATCATCAAGATTCTTCCGAAAGATCCATCCATCAAACTTACATCTCACCAATCGGAAATCCACGCGATACGTGAAATAGTTAACGTTATCTATTTTTGCAGACAGTAAGTAGTTTCGTGCCTGTCCTATCAGGCATCACAAAGTAATATTAAAAAATAAAATGTTGTGTAATTTAACCGAATTTATCTAGTCACAGGGATCCCTTGATGTTAATATGATAATGCATAATCGAGAATTACATGAAACTAGTGAAAGAGATGTTGACCCCTTAATTTGCGCGTTTTTAAAATAGCTTTTTTTTTTTCTCTCAACACATGGCACCCGGTTGTATGCCTCCACGAGTGGCCCGGATTTTTCATTCGATGTCCGAAAATCAAAGTCAACAAATACTGTGCATATGGCCATAAAGAATATGTCTGCCGCGTGAACGAATCTACAGAGCTGTAGGGGCTGCTGAATTCTGTTTGAATGAATTGTGCACAGTTTAATGTTGAAGAGTGCAAGTTATGAAGTCGAAACTCTTATTCGTGATGAGATTAGTGATGTAATTCGTTGATCGATTCATCATCAACCGAGACAATATTTTTTTGATATCATTGAGATAGTAGAATAGTATCCCAATTGGCATGACACATCACAACAATTCAGATTGAACGCCTTTGAATTGACAACGCACTATGACTCATTTTTATCGAGTGAGTGAAGTCATTTTCCAAAATTGTTGTTTCTTTCTTGACACAAAGAACAATTGCAAAAAGCGTGCGCATTCTGGTGAATTCTCTGTACGCTCGAACTTCCCCAGAATAGTAATACCATATACTGTAAAATAGTATGTTTCTTGATCGTCTACAGGGACATGAATTGATTAAGGTTAATAATCTTATGACAGTGGGCACCACGTGCTGATCAAATCCGAGTAATCGCTATTTATAGAAGAAGCTAAACCACCACGAAACTTTGTTATATCCCCGCCCTCGTAATACTCCGTGACCCACGCGCAAACTTTATCCCTCGCGACATTGTTTGAAAACGTGGTACAAAGTACAAGACACAAACAATTGAATACGATTTACATATTTAGAAGGAGATGGTGACGATGATTGTGCACCGATGACCGGCGATGGAGGGGAGGTGTTTCAGCGACTACAAAGAAGCGAATTGCGCCCAGAGGAAAATAATAATGATTTTTATTCTCTCTGAATGTAGTGCAATTTTTACTGTATGAATAGTGTGGACAGGTGTGGAGTCCAAGGATGTCGAAAAAGGGAAATTCAAGATGACGAGCGGACAATTGGCTGTTGGTCGGAGAAGGAAGCCCAGAGACCCACAAAAGGTATGAAAAAAATTCGTGAACAAGCTTGTTCGTGCCATCAGTGGAACCAGATAATAATGACCACGTCCTCGTGATAACCACCGAATGACGTCTCTCCAGGTGTAATTGCTCTGGAAATGACATGCGTGTCGCAAGATTTACCATAGCTTGACCACATTTGGCTGTTTTACACACTTAAAAATTTCCTGGTGGATGGGTGGATACAAAGAAAAAAAAAAATTTTTTTTTTTTTTTTTTACAAAGAAAGTAAATATTTATGTTTCAGAATTTGGGGGTCAGACCACGAATAGTGGCGTCGGATTGTTGAACATTAACTTTTGCGTGCGTCCTCAGTATTCCGCTATCAGGATGTTAAACAGAATACAATCGTTCTCCATTAATCAGGTCAAAAGTGATTTTTCTGACCTCTTGATTATTCACTCAACCAGGGGCCATCTTCCTATTCATAGAAAAAACCGCACAAGTCTCACGTTTAACAGTTAAATCAGATTTTCGCTATGCATGCGCCGTGATATCATAGTCATCATTGTATGTCCATAGGACATTGACAATCGTTCCGCCGAATTTGGAAGGCCATTATTCTCGGAAACCGTTCGGACGACGGGTGCTCATGACTTGTGGACACGGGCTTATCCTTAAAAGGCAAGCGACCTGGATTTTTAAGGCTGTCCTTTTAGGTATTCCTAGCGGATGACTAGCGTTATCATCATGCAAACAGAATGTACTAGAATCTCTGAAAATAAAAAAAAGAAATACAAATCCACTCCTATTCCAGCTC